ATTGACCAATCAAATAAAACAGAAAAAACAGGTGAACTCGCCTTTAAAGTTGAATCCAAATGGCATTGAAAAATTGTTTGACTTAGATAAAATTTGACTTGCACTGTACAGATTGTTAATTAATGGAAAACAACAATTTGGCATGTAATGTAAGGTCGACTTAGAAATTATCCGAGTTCGGCAAGGTGGACTTGCGCAAGTTTGACTGTATCATGCACATACAGTACATACGCTAATGTTACGTTAATTGCGCCGTCTGAACATCTTGATAGTTATAACTTAGATTAACCTGCCTGACATTAGTTGCGTCTGTAGTTATCTTTAGGATTTAAACACACAGTTAGCCTTAACCACCAACAAGAGAATAATCATGTTCACCTTCTATTTTAACTCATGACCTTCAGAAAAGGAAACCCAATGATTCACCACATTCTATGTTTACAGTATTACTGTAGATTAACCCGTCATTTTTATTTAAGTACTTTAATCAATATTATTTACTGCATTTATTATAGTTTTAATTGTAAAATTCAATGTAAATGTACAAATTACATAGGCAAATGTGCAAAAATATGAAACAATATCACAAATTGAATATGGTGACCTTAATTACTGACATTGGCATTTAAAATGCAGTACTATATCGTAATTTACCTTACTAGGAATTAAATAATATATAAATTTATACTAGGAATATTAAGAATGAATTGAATTAGACACCTTTTAAATGTGATATTAATAATCCAAGCAAAGCTAATATCTATTAAGATACCGCAGAGAATTGTGTTCACGCTAATAATATTATTAATATGAAACTAAGACTGCCTCTTTGTGCTGTTTGTATCAGTACACTTTGTAACTGTAAAGTTTATCAAAGGCAATTTGTGCACATAAATTTGCTCTCTTCTTTAAAATTTTATTGATCTGAATGATCTGTAATTCGATACGGATTTACCAGTTGTGACCTGGTGCTTTTTGCTAGGATTGCGCTGGTTGAGCTGTTGAACAGCGTGCATTGCTAATGTATGTTACTGCGTTTACGCTTCAAGTACCTCTAGGCTTCAGTGAACACATAACAGTTTAGCTACAGTGCACTGAATTTAAAATCTAGGTCTGCCATCAAGGAGTGTCATCAGTTCATGATAAAATCAAGCTATTGCCAGCTATAGAAGGATATAATTAGTGGTTGTTCAAAATTATTAACATTTCACAAGTGTACAAATAATACGCGGGGGGGTGGACACGTTTGTACACTTTGATATAATATGAAAGTGTTGATTCAAAATAACATGTACAGTAATATTTAAAATAATATATATTTATGATCAATTATAATGTAACCATGGATATTATGAATGTTTTTATGCAACCAAAAATAGTACTTAAGTTGACTACACAAAAAATGGAGGATAGTTTTGCAAAATCAACATTTTTTATGTACACTTTTGGGGAAGGGATAAGGTACCGAAGAAGAGTACTGTTTGTACAATGGGCAAATGTTGATAAGTGTGAACGACCCCTTATTAAAATAAATTTCAAAAATAATGCTAAAGAAATTATATTATAATTATAATATAATTGATTAAAAAGATCTTAAAAAATTATAGCACCATTAAACAGTTAGTAAAATAATTATAATAAATGTCAGTGAAGGACTTTCAGTTGATGCCATAGATGGTACAATAGTGAATAGGCCTACGCAGGATGCATGATAAAGATAATGGTGATTAATTAGAAATCCCATTAAACTATTGGGTGTGAATAAACTGTTAAATGATTTAGCTGATTACTGGCAGTACTCTAAACAGATAAACTGTTAACTGACGTAGCTGATTACTGACAGTACTGTAAACAGATAAATTAGTTTGTTTCATCACCCAGTAGCAGTTGCTGTAGTATGGTGAACATGTTTTTGTATTCAAACAGTTGCAACAGTAGGAGTTAATCTGTCATTTTGCTAATGGTACTTATCTACAAAACCAGAGTGCTGAGTGCAATTTGTAGGCCTATTCAGTGTTCTTTTGTAGCCGTTTTAGCCGTCAATTCTGGTAAAAAATAACAGCCTACCGGTAAAAGTTACACGCAAATAGGCCTAGGTAGTCTAGGCTGGCCTTCTTTCAATACGTAAACATCATTCGAATCTATGCCTAGGCTATTACTCAATTTGTTGTTGTTTTTTTCCAATTAAACCCCACTCAAAAGGGTAACATGTCTAATTGCGCACATAGCTGAATTTTTGTGGACAAATTTACCAGTAGAAATTATTCAATTGGGAGAACACTGATATTGATAATTTTCTTTCTTTCATAATTAAAATATTTCATGCTGTATAAGACTTATAATGTAAATTTAACTAAATTTTGTATACATGATGCCAAATTTGTTACAGTAGCTAGGCTTGAAGTACTATACAGTTTGCCTACTGTCTGCAAGCCCTAGTTAGTAGTTGGTTGTATAAGTGACAAAAGAAGGAAAAAACCAATGACATCTCTGCAGTACACCTTTAAATTGGTGCAGATGGGATATCTGTGAAATTACAGATTTTTGTTTAATTAATTACACTTCAAATTTGTGTTAATTGAGTTTGATCCAGAAAAAATATGGTCATACTGTAGTTCTGAATGTAATGTTAAACCTTGGTTAAAGGCTAAGGTAGCAACATAAGAAAAAAAACCCCTAATAATTATAAAATCATTTCAATTTTTTTGTCGAGCTATGATATATTTTTTACAAAATATTAATGAGTAATGTATTTATAGCATTAATGAGTTGTGTCTAATGTCCTTCATTTTAATAAATGTCAGAATAATTATTAAATGTCATATTTTTGTAATTCAAAAAAATCCAGATCTGGTTTGTGATGTAGTTATTTTTAAATCTAAAATTGAGAATGATTGATTAGGCAATCTATTCGTGGTAGCGATGGCCTTACACAATAGGGTGCTTCAGTTAACCTTGTTTGAAGTATTGCTACGGTGAATCAAATTATTTATTGATGCACAGTTCTAAGCAGGTTATTGACTACATTAACAAAAGAGTACCATCAAACATAAGATCTTTGTTTATTGTATACCGCACAACAGGCATTGTATACATTCATTTTGTCTATGTCTTAGAGGGAGGGGCTTAGCCTACACTCAAATCTCCAACCATCAGGGGCGGATCCAGATGTCCCAAAAGGGAGGGCCAGGGCCGGACCGCCCCCCCCTCCCAAAAAATCCACCCCTGACCATGGTGGAGAAAGTGGCATAGGCTACCGCCATGACATAAATTATTAAAGCAATAGATTCCATTTTGCCTACAAATATATTTAAAAAAAGGTTAATATTATTTTTAATTTTCGTAAAAGATTTAGGTCTGTTTTACCTTTAATGGTGTGTTCTGAAATTGTCACAAAAAGGTTCAGGTTTTTTTAAAATTTTGATTATGAAATTCTATTCAAAATTTAGGTCAATAATTTTTAGGGATTAAATATTTAGCTTTAATAATATACCTTCTCAATATGTTTGTAGAAAAGGAAACCAGCTTTTGAACGGTTTCTAATTTTATTCATTTTGGTTGTCAATATGATGCATATTGACTTATAATAACATAGACTAATTTTGCCTCATTTAAAAAAGATCTAGAAAAAGACAAAACTATAAATCGGATTTCTAATATTAAAATCGTTATCAATTTGGGTCATATAGTAAATATATTTTTTTTAAATGATATGTACAATACTTACTGTACTACATTAAACACATAAAAAAAAGAGCAGATTGAAAGAGGGATTCAATTTCTAAAAATAATTTTTATCTAAATTTGCTTCTTGTCAATTACTGCATGGTAGTTAGCTTATGCTGCATTAAAGACTGTTATCTAATGACTTTTGGAAGAGGATTTTAAATTAATCAAGATTTAGTTCTTTTGTCAATTATAGTTTAAATTGCATTTTTATAAAGAATTCTAAGTGTATGGTAAAAGTCTTTTCAAAGGATTCCTAACGAATGCTCATCAAAATTTACATCTTTTCTGTTTAACAGTTTGGCATATTATCTGAAATTGCTTAGTGTTAAACTTTTCTGTCATTGTAAAAAGTTCAAGGTTTCTATCTGAAAATTTTTCTGAAATTAAATAATAAGTCTGTTCAAGTATGGTTTAGTAATTGTGTATTTGTAGATTGTAAATCGCCTCTCATATGGTTAAATTTTTTTTTTTTTTAAAGCGTTCTATTTATGATTAACATCAGATCAGATCAAATGATGAATCCCTCTATGTCAGTCGAAGTTTTGGCTGTGGTTTCCGTAAAAATCTGATATTGTTGAATCTGAGAAATACTGTAATTGCATAAGTATTGGCTGGCTTGGATAGCCTTTGCTGTTTGGTCTTATAGATATTTTTCATAACGTCTCATGAATATTATTTCACTACATCTTTGACTGTTGTTTTTCGATTCTAAACGGAAGATTGTAATCAATAACAGTTTTGTTAAAGAATTCTTGCAATTATTATTATTATTTTTATTCTTTTAATTATATTTTTGATTATTTAAGTTGCTTCATAAACAAGTGATAAGATAAGTGGTCATGGACAATTTAAAGTTCATTGATTTTATTGTAAATAAAGGTAGTCTCGTATTCATTTAGAACGTAGGGGAATGAGCTGTTAGCCCATCGTACTAAGCCTAAGAAATTGTGTGATAGGGTGTCCAGTTCTTCTCCACACCACTCCTTTCCTCCCTATTAGTAAACCAGGTACCCATTTATACTTCTGAGTGGAGAGAGACAAGCATAGATAAAGTGTCTTGTCCAAAAACACAAGTGAAATGCACAGCGTAGATTTGAACCCCCGACCTCTAGTCTGAGCGACTGAAACAAAACCATTGGGCCGATCGCTCCCACTATTGTATTATATTAAAATAATTCTGTCACATTTTATTCACTAAACAAAAGTTATAAAATACTAGAAATTATTTTCTGAGATTTTTTTTTAAATTATTTCTTTTGTTTGTATTTCAGGTGTTCCCTATCCACCCACAAAGAAACTTGGTGTAGAGGATATATACGATGTAGATCACAATACTAAACCAAACCATGCGAAGTTAAAAGCACATTTCTTACAAGAAGGACGACTTACAGAAGATGTAGCAATAAGGATTATTAATGAAGGTGCTGCAATTCTAAGAAAGGAGAAAACAATGATAGATATAGATGCACCAGTAACAGGTATATATTAATATTTTTTAAATAATAATCTATTAATGTATCTGCAGTATTTGACTTCATTGTACAATGTTAAGTCATGCGTAATAATAATTTCTTTTGTGTCAAAGTGATTATCTGAACAGACATTGTTAGGGTGTGTGCTTGTTTCAGACATGATCAAACAAATTATCTTTGTTTCCATGTCTGTTGAAAGTTGGACAGATGCTTATAAAACTCTGATCAAACGTTGTTTGGTGAAGCCCTATACAGACTATTAGATTTTATTTGGCAGAAGCATGTGACATACCTAAATATGGTCATGATGTAATCATAGGCACATCGTGACTATATAATGGGCATGAACAAGTTGGTTTGTCAAAGAAAATTTGATTATCTGAACAGAGCTTTTAAGACAAGAGCCAGGCATTCACTCACAGTTGATGCCAAGCTAATCAGATGTTTGCTCCAAGTGCATCAGGTGTGGACATATTGTATGCTGCTAGTTTTTTTTCAGGTGTGAAAAAATGGGGCAGCCTGCCACCGAAAGCTGTAATGACGACAGATCAATGCCCTCTAGAGTGGCAACATCCAACCTCATTTTATGTTTTTTATGTGCCACACATACCACTAGAAGATACATAAAAAAAAAAGCCAAATTTTAAGAACTGTTAAATTAATAATTGTAAATGTGCACATAAATTAAAACTTTAACTGTGCTGTGTAAGGCCTACAGTATTTCAATTCATTGTGTAGTCTTTCGTAACCTAGGTCCCCAACAGTATGTCCCGTCTAGAATTTTCCTCACAACCGAGGCAAGACTTTTATTTGTTATATATGTAGAGCATAAACAGGGCTATGAAAGGGGTTATGGTAACTTACAAAAACTGCCATAAAATCTGTTTGGTGTTTTATTGGCAGTCGTTTGCCCAATGAAATAACTTCCTAACACAAACTACCTCATAAGATATTTTGCGAAGAGACACTCCATGACAAAATTTAGGGGGATCTAAAAAAAGAAAATTGCAGATTTTTCCAAGAGCTCTGCTAGCTATGTTTTTGTTCTGCAGCTGTAATGCCAGCATCTTTAATTTAAATTTTGAAGGCGTAGGTTGTCTGAAAGAGTACATTGTAGTGGCAGTCTCAGTTAACACCTCCAGTAATAACATGAGTATATATTCATAGATCTGGCAGTAAACACAATGTGCAGATGTAATTTAATACTGTACATGTGTATTTATGCATTGGATAGACACAGTAAAAGGTCAATACATCAATATTTAAATTAGATTTAATTAAATATGTTTTGTGTTTACAAGTTTCTCAATTCCTGTTTATATTTGTTATACCCTAACTTCATGTTTTGACTTTTATACTAAAAAATGTATATTTTTTTTCCCCTTAAATTGATTTTCTGAACAGAGTAGCCTATTATATTTTATAGATGTTATGCATTTATTTTTCAGTGTGTGGAGATATTCATGGGCAATTTTACGATCTTATGAAGTTATTTGAAGTTGGGGGCGACCCAGCTGTTACGCGGTACCTGTTCCTCGGTGATTACGTAGATAGAGGTTATTTTAGTATAGAGGTAAGCTGAGTGCAATATATGATTTAAAGTTTAATATTTTTTTTTTTTTTTCTCTCTTGAAATGATATCTTATAGCAATGTTAAATGACTAAAGTGACTTAAATACACTCGGGTATTCTTTCCTGCTGACTCTGGAACTTAGTTCCCTGGGAGCGTCTCCTATCAGTGTTAAAGTTGCGTGGGCCTTTTGTATCAAGAGATATGTGGGCCGCTGCGCCGTCTCCTTGTCTTGTGACAAGTTGCATGCGATAGATTGTTTTCAATGACAATCCACTTACACCTCCATCAGCAATCAGCAGACAGCATCGCATCGTCAAGCACTCACACAAGCGCAGATTGATTTGGCTGATCGTCGGCCTGGAAACAAAAGAAAAACACTAATTCAAATTTATCGCGATAATGGAGGCATCTGAAACTTTAGAAATATTTCTATGTAGTTTGATATATAATACAAGATTGATATTTTTACATTCTAATGAATTACAAGTCTATTGAATAATGATATAGTTATAATATATATGGCTCTCCAGAATGTCGGTGTACAATTAATACGGTTAATGTTAGAAACATGTTATAGTAGAAATTTTAATGAAATATGTAAACTTGTAAAATTGTTGCAACTGTAATACACACAATTTCCTGAATACTTTCCTGATGATGACATAATTAATGTCAAAATATTGAATATGTGTGTGTAAATGCACACACTTTCCTGATATTTTCCTGAGGATGACATAATTAATGTTGAAATATTAAATCTGAACACAATGGTGTGCATTTCAATACTTGGGAGTACTGTATGCATTATACTATCTAATACTGTACTTAGTTTAATAATTATTTCCCCCCCCATAGGACCACACAGAAATTAAGCCTCCAAGCTTTACTTCTTAACATTGAAATTCCTAATATTATGTATTCTCATAACTTTCATTTTCTTCATCCGTTTCGAAATAATTACATGCCCAATGAGTTTCAAAATAAATTGAAATTATATTTTTTTCTTAAATGATTTTAATTTACTAATTAAGAAATAAAAATTATGCATTAAATAAATATTTAATTATATTAATATTTAAATGCTTGAGGTACACCATGCAGCCTCGTATTGGGTGTACCGCGAGTATTTAATTGTTGCTCTACCGTAAAAAAATGCTGTATACAGCATTTTTTTTAGTTATTTTTAATATTTACGTGTGTTGTTCATTCATCATCACTTCTTCAGGCTTGTTTTCCCACTGTTACCGTACATTGTTTTTGTCCTACATCTTGTTATAAAAAAAGAATTAAGCTTTTCTTATCTATTAAGCCTTAAGACACAGCAGCTCCGACGATGATGAATTGCATACTGTACTAACATACCATTAGCACGGACTTGTAGAAGGACATCTCTAAAAAAAAAATGTCCGCGTTATAATAAAGGTTATTACTATAGCAGAGGTGTTGAGACTTATCATTAGGTCTACATCTTTTCTCTTGAATGTTTGTTTTTAAAAATTTAAAGCAAAATATGTCTTCATTGTTTTGAACTTTTCTTTCTTTTGGTCACTTTTACAATCAACCCCTTAATTCTACTAAATTGCAAAATGAATATATTTGGAGATTTCTGATTAATTTGATTCCAAATGTGTTATGCTTTTGTACCGTGAACTTGAAATTTGTGTGTCCTGTCGTTGAAGCTGTGGATACTTAAATAAAAAACTGCATTCTTGATATAAATTTATGGTCAGGAGTTACGATCCCACTTTATACGTCCTGTGATTTGGTATGCATAATTTTCTGGCTCTCAATCGAGAAACGAGTGTAAGTGGTGGTTTATTTGGGGGGTGTGTGAAGAGGTCCAAGGTGAAGCCCTAGTGTGATTTAGTAGTCAGAGTGTCTTAACAGCCAGAGCAAATGAGTAACAGCAAATTCTGATCTTATTGTATTTAATACGTTTTAAAACATACAGTATGGAGTAAACGGCTGTCCCGAGGCAAAACAACGTAACTAACGTATTTGTCGATTTTGAGATGATGATAATTTGGGTATTAAACACATCTGAATTACCTGTGAAAATTTCAGGTCTCAACAATGAGTCGTTTTGGAAATAGCACCACCTATCTTTAAGCACAAATCTTAAAATCTAGTGATCTTCCGTGGAAAACGATGTAACTGCAAGATTAGATAGATACGTTGTTTTGCCTCGGAATGGTATTAGAAAAAAATTGTTTTGAGCTGATGGAGTTTGGCAAGGCAAAATCAACTGGTTAATGGTGTTTTCTTATCAATAATCTTAAAAGCGACGTATGAACAAACTAGATGCCCAAACAGGATAAATTCCAAAAAATATGTCGCACTTGCAACAATACCGAGCCCAATATGTTTCCGAGGCAGAACAACGTATCTGTGATTATCGCTAATAACTTTGCAATAAACAAACGGTTGTAATAAAAATTTCACATATAATCAAAATGATACAATCCTGAACAATTTCAAAAGGGTACGAAAATTTATTGCCAAGATACAAACATGCAAACTTTTAACTCTATTTTTCTCCAAAAGTGGAAATTCCAAGTTGCATTATTTTGCCACGGAATGGCCGTGGTGGTGGTTGCCTTTATTAAGGTATTACAGGCCTAGTGTTCTGTATATTTGCCATTTTTCCATACAACAAGCATAATATGGTAATTATGCTACCAAATATTATATTTGAGGTGGTTATTGTAATCCTAAAATAATATTTGACATACAGTAAGTACTGTGCCTTGAGGGTTCTACTGTGACACACAGAATGCATGCAAGTTACCATGTGAAATCTCATTATCAATTTCTTTCAATTGCGATTGATTCTGCATAATTATTGCCAACATGTGGATAATGGATTTTTCGAAAATTTAAAATGTGAATTACTATGTTATGCGTGGTAGTGTGATTTCCTTGGCCGTGATTCCAGTGGCATTAGAGATTACGATATTCGCTCATGCATATTAATTAGGCTTTCTTCTGACTTTTTTTTTTATACTTTGTGAACTTTTTTTTTTTTTTAAATCATCAGAGGAAAGTGGGGGAAAAAAAATAAAAATTTTTGTTTTTCATGAAGCAAAAGTTCTGCCAAAATCATTCAGAGGAGAATATAAAAATACAATTTTATTGATGAATATAAACAGTGTACATTAGTAATGGGATAGTTAAATGCTTTAAATTGATATTTAAGGAAGAAATATACATCTAATTTTTTGGAGATTTCCTTTCTTTTTGTGGTTGCACAATGCGGGTATGCTAATTGGCCAAAAATAAAGTTTTATTTTTATTTAGAATCATTATAGGCGAGCGGTGGGTTTGCTTAAATAAGGTATAAAAAAGTCTTGACTAACTTGTTATAGTTTGTCTCTTTGCTGTTTTAAATTTTTATTCCTGATGATGCTTGAATAATAGTGAAACCTTGATGTAATTACCATCCATTTTTTGGAGTGGTCTTTATTCTATAATACTCTCTGATCTTTAAATATTTTCTCAATATTTATGCACTTCTGCAGTATTAAAGTATCATGATAACATCTGCGAACCTCCTTTTATGATTTGAAAATATATTATAATCGATATTGTGCTTTTTCAGAGTTATGAAAATAGTTGCACTGTAGTTTTTGGTTAAGGTTTATGACTTCATAATTTCAAGGTAATTGGTTGAATTCTGAAAAAAAAGTAACAAATTTTCCTCGAATCAAGCAATAAAAGCTCTGACCAATCTCTAACTATACCTTAGGCAAAATATTGTTTAAACTTGTTTTGTTAATTAGAATTTTGGCTTGTTAACATACTTTTTACCATAAATAATAAGTAATTTAAGATAACTTTGTTTTCACCCACCATCATCTTGATATCTCACGATATTTCTTTCCGGTTGTCCTTGATACACTGTATTTCGCTGAACAGTGGAAAAGTCACTCTATAAAGGTTTGCAAAATAACAAATATTACAATTAAACAACTTGCCGTTGATACCCATTGATGTGTCTATTAAAATCGAAATTAATGTATCTTCATTAAAAAAAAATAGACTTTATTACACTAAACAATGTTACAAGCATTTTGTGGTAATCACAGAGTATTTGTTGATGTGTTCAGTACATTTTGTTAACCTCATCGTCATTATCGTTGTGCTAAAGTGATTCCAAATAAAAGGTCTGTTTTGCTTGCATAATCTAGTACTAATTGGTTGCGACCCAAATTTCTGTCATTAAAACTTTTTTTGAGGTTCACTTGACTTTCTCTGATGAAGAACACATCTTCAAACATTTCCACAGGTGGCACGTGCTTTTCATCAATAAAGATGCTTCAAAATGCATAATTCTTTTAATATAATGTGCTATTTTTGTCATTTTTTAATTCTCTATATTTTTACCAAGTAAATATTAAGAGTTGCAATTTTTATTAAGGCTAGAAATTACTTTTTTTGGTTCCAACCAACCATAGTGTGTCTAAGGTGAGTGTGGACCCAAAATGCATCTGCACTCCGAATTTTTAACAGCAATGCCTGGGGTTGCCTCATAATGAGTGTACAG